AAAAACATCTTACAGAATACAAGACTAGCAGAGATGGAAGGGGCCTTGGAGGTCATCTAGCTCAACCCCCTGCTCAGGCAGGAGACCCTAGACCGTTTCAGACAAAGGGCTGTCCAGTCTCTTCTTAAAGCTAATATTTAACAAAATATTGGCAGCCAACATGGAGAAAATGTCATCGCCAGCCGTGATTTTAATCGTACAGCACCATTCCTGCTCTCAGCTGGCCTGGGGGCCAAATCCTGTGTCCATCTCGGCTGTTTGTCCAGAAAAGGGACCCCCCCCCCCCCAGTGACTGCTTAGGAGCCCCACTGTGTGTCAAAGTCTTGAAAAGATGCCTCTGAATTACGCTCAGGACAATCATTTAGATAGGAGCCAGCCGTGTGCTGCAGCTGCCAAAAAAGCCAACACAGTGCTGGGCTGCATCAACAGAGGGACAGAGTCAAGATCACGTGAAGTGTGAATACCACTTTACAAGGCCTTGGTAAGGCCACACTTGGAATCCTGCGTCCAGTTTTGGTCACCACGATGTAAAAAAGATGTTGAGACTCTAGAAAGAGGATCAGGGGACTGGAGACTAAAACATATAAGGAAAGGCTGCTGGAATTGGGTATGTCTAGTTTAATGAAGAGAAGGACGAGGGGGGACATGATAGCAGCCTTCCAGTATCTCAGGGGCTGCCCCAAAGAAGAAGGAGTCAAGCTATTCTCCGAAGCGCCTGAAGGCAGGACAAGAAGCAACGGGTGGAAGCTAACCAAAGAGAGAAGCAACCTAGAACTAAGGAGAAACTTCCTGACAGTGAGAACAATTAACCAGTGGAACAACCTGCCTCCAGAAGCGGTTAATGCTCCAACACTGGAAGTTTTTAAGAAGAGACTGGACAGCCATTTGTCCAAAATGGTATAGGGTTTCCTGCCTGAGCAGGGGGTTGGACTAGATGACCTCCAAGGTCCCTTCCAACTTTATCATCATCATCATCATCATCATCATCATCATCATCATCATCATCATCATCATTATTATTATTATTATTATTATTATTATTATTATTATTATTATTATTATTATTATTAT